GTATTGATTTTTTACCAACTATGCGATTATTTTCTTAACAACTCAAAAATATTCATAATTTAGAAATAAAAGCAAAGGACTTGAAAAAATGTTTACTACACAATCAAACAAAGAAATTAACTAAGTCCAAGTTCAAACTTTACATTAAAGTAAATAGTTAAATCCCCCTTTTCTTAAAATATACCTTGATAATGGTGAACTGCTTGCTTGATGCCATTTTCAGATATTTCCCTCAAAAATTCAGAACAACAAACTCTAAAATTCAACCCCAATCAGGTCTATCTGAAATATACAAATATAATGAATACAAGACTGATTCCCCCCCCCCTTCCAAAAAAAAAATAACTTAAACTGTGGTTAAAAACTCATGATTTTTTTTAAAACGACATTAACCATTTTTAACAAGGAAGCAAATTTATTTTTCTTTTGAACTGTAATGACCCCTGTTTAATATGTCAATGTCGTAAAACAGCTGAGTTTTATTTATGTTGATTTGCAAAATTTAAGAATAGTTTGCGGCAAATACAAAATAAACAAATGGTTTTCAATTTTCATATGGAACTTTTTTAACAGCAGCTGAGCAGATCACTCTTTCTTTCTTTCAAGGAAATCGCAAATTACATAATTGGGTCAAAATCAATTCGTTGTTAGGCGAAAACTGAAAATGGCCAGGACAAGAAGGGAAAATTATGACCCTAACAAATAAGTTTCGACTTTTACAGGACACGGTTTATAATTTCTAAAGGGGGAAGAAGTGTAATTAAGTTGTTAAGTCATCTAAAGTCACATGCGACCTTAGTAAATTCAAATTTTGTTCTATCATTAAAATGTATCAAATCGTATACAAAAAACCTCAAACATTACCAAATCTTTTGAACAGTGTAATAAAGTGTAAAAAGCAGACTTGTAAAGGCGTTAATAAAAACTTGTATTTGATTTGAACACAATATTGTAATTCTGAACAAAAGTACAACAAAATTAATAGTTCAGTGACTCCGACTCCTATTTATTTGACTGCAACATTTACAAGGGTTTGTGACGTCACTGCTTCACCATTTACTGTCCATCTTACTCCCTAGAAGAAAAAAGTGTAAACATTATTTTCTATTTGTGATACTTTAAAGACAAGTATAGATTTTTATTCAAAATAAAAGTTGCTGAAATAATTATTTACAGCTACTTTACAGGGAAGTTAAGGGAATTTTACTTGACCAAGGGTTCCCAAGACCAATTTTGCTTACACATCCAGAGTGCAGCGAGGAATTTTTCGTTGGCAAAATTGGTCGAGGGAACCGGTGGGTAGGTAAAATGTTTAATTTCCCGAAAAAGTAGTTGTACATAATTTTATCGTCTTTTGAGAAGAAAATCCGCGATTTTTTTAATGTAAACTTCACAGAGCGGGTTGTTATTTTACTCGATTGTCCCAAGGGACGTAAAGTAACCTAACGTCCTTCGTTGGGGGGAATCATGGGTTGGTAATGTTGGTCAAAAGGCGGTAAAAAATATAACAACGTATGTAATGGGAAAAAGTGGAAAAGAATGAAACGAAAAAATAGAATAATAAAAATATGATGCAGGAAGTGTAAGTTGTCCCAATTGACAAATTAGTGTAAGTTGTCCCAATTGACAAATTACATAACAGAAAACTCGGGGATTGAATTTGCTTACAATCAACTTTGTTATCCGTTTCAGTCCTTAAATTAGTATAATAAAATTTAAAATAAGCGAAAAGGAAAATAACTATAAGTAGTTCCATGGAATCCAGGATTCCTTGTTTGTAACAGATTTTAACATACCTTGAAGCAGGCTTCCTTACTGCTGTTCACCGTTAGATCCGGAGCACATGTTTCAAATATCTTCTTCTTGGGATTGAGCTGCACATCAGGGTTCCGGACGTATCCTTCCACTAGGACGTGATCTCCGGGTTTACAACCAGCAGGAGGAGACAATATCTCAACCTTTTCCGAAGTAGAGGCACACATGACCATGGCCTGCAATACGAGATAGAGCTGAATTTAAGTTAGAATTTTGATTTGGAATCTTTGGATAGAAGAAACCTATTTAATTTCAGATCAGAAAAAGCATAACTGCTTGAAATATCATTGAAGTGTTGGATTATTTTATTGTTGTCAAATTAAAATGATATCTTACCTCTGACATAATTCCTCTCATCTTACTAGGTTTGAGATTGCAGAGAATAATTGCCATCCTGTCCTGCATCTCAGGTTCAGGGATAAACTTGACCAGCCCAGAGATAACAGTTCGAGGCTTCTCCTCTCCTACATCAACCTGGAGAAGGTTCAGGATACAAGTTTTGGAAGATTTAAAAAAAATATTTTAATTCTAAATGCCCAATGATTCTTTTAAAAAAGAAAGTAGAATGTTTTGAATTATATATAATCTGTAAGTTACCTCCTCAATGTAAAGGGAATCCGCATCTGGATGTTTCTTTGCGCTCCTAATATGTCCAACCCTGAGATCTAAGCGTCCGACGTCTACTGGCGGTTCATTACCATCCTCTTTGGGGGGCTTAGTTTCCTTCTTTGGTTTCTCCTTCTTCTCCGCTTTCACAGAATCTCCCGCCGTTTTCTTTTTCTCCTCAACAGGTTCCTGCTGCTCCTTAGCAAGAGGATTAACAGAGGTTGATCCAGGTTTATTAAAAACCGGTTTTCCATTCGCGATTTCAGCCTGGGTAAGCTTTATCTTCCAAGCTTCGACTTCTTGCTTGAGATTCGAGTTTTCAGATTTTAAAGTTTCTAATTCTCCCGAGCTAGTAGCACCGCCCTTCTGCTGTTCCTGAAACAAATCATGAAATTAAAATTCTAGAAAATCACCAACTTATGTTTATTTCAAGAATTTGCCTTGGCCTCCGCGATCTGAAGCTTAAGAAGAGAGATCAGCTTCTCTGCAGCAACAGCTCTAGTCTCTAACTTCTGTAAAGCCTCGGCTGACGCCATTTTCCCGATCTGAAAACATAGAATTAGGTTGGTTTCCGTTTTCCCGGTCGAACCTTGCCCCTGTCCTCTTGCCACTGGTTTATCCAGGCCAGGATACGGTTCAGGTTCTCCTCTCTCTCCTCGGCAGTGTTGCTCTGGAGCTCATGGACCAACTCCTCCCTGTAGGCCTCCTTAGCCTCGTCCAGGACGGTTTGAAAAATTTCACACTGGAGGTTATCCTCTAGTTTTTTTCCGGTGTATCCTCGGGTTGAGAGACGATCAAAGAGCGCAGTATTGTTTGCTCTGAGAACAAAAACTATATCAAACCATCTCTCAGGGTATATATCCGTCATGTGGTGATCAATAATGATTCCACCGATCTTCTGTCTCTCTTCTAGGATATCGAGAAGTTTATCTTCTTCTAGATTATGAGTTTGGTATTCTTCGTCCCATTCCCCTAAACATCCATGCTCCTAAATACAGAAAAATTATCAAAACAGAAAATTACAACAACAAAAGTTTATCATCAAATAAGAATTTTAGTGAATTGTATTCCATGACGTTCCTAGATTCTATATTATAAAATAACAATTGTCTAAATATGAACATTTTCAACGACACCGTTCCTAGATACTGAATAATTGCAACCCATACGGAAATTAACAATGTAATATTTAAATGTTTCAGAAAAAATGACATTAGAAACATCATAAGGACTTCACACTGCTCCTAGGGCTGGAAACGAGGTTCAGTTTTTTTTTAAGCTAAAACCTGCACCTGGAGATAAAAAATCGTGAACCAAGATGGATTACCTCTCCGGAGTTATACAAAATGTTTCAAAGTTTGCTGCAAACATTAATACTTCAACTCTCTCAGGTTCCCTTACATTCATTTTTTTAATTTTGCTCAATGTGTCTAAATTTACAAAATGCTCCAGTGTTGTTTAAATGTATACATTAGAAATCCTTATCATCAGAGATAAAGTAAACAAACTTCAACTACTAACACTTACATTCTATTTTTAATAGATTTTTCCCACAACAAATAATTAAACCATATTCGGAATATAGATACCATTTTAATGTGAATATATGTAGTGATTTTAATTTTGCAACCCAGTACTTAAAATTTATTTTTTATTTAGGAGCTATAGACATTGTTTTTGTGAGGCAGCCAGATGGAAGATACCGATCAACACCATTTTTTATCAAATTCGGAAAAATTGGTGTTCTCAAGGCCAAAGAAAAGGCAGGAAGCGACAATCATTTTATGAAAAATTATATATATATTTTTTTTTATCATTTTTGCTTTTTACTCTCTTAAGAACGCTTCTGTCTAGGTTATCTATATAGAGGTGAACGGGAAGGAGATTGCAAGGACGATGATACTGGCGGATAACGGGGTTGCATATTTTCATGCTCCACAGGATAATCAGACCTCTAACCTATCCGACCAGGATCTGGAGCAGAGTAGTGGGACCAGGAGGTACTAATGAATTAGATTATAGTGTTTGATAAGATTTTTATTTAGTGATTTTTTTTCAGAGTAAGACACAAGAGTGAGCCTAGCGAGTGTTCTACCCCGGAATCTGAAACACTAAAAGTTCTCTCCATTGCCAGCAGAGCTCTTTCCAACCCCAACCTAGAGAATGAGGAGGACCAGGCATTGGAGCTGGCAGGACTAACCAGGACTATCTCCGACCCGTCCCTGGAGGAGGAGGAGTGTAACATAAACGAGCTGAACCTCACGGAGGAGGAGCTGGAGGAGTTCAATCTTAAACTAGGAATAAATGAAGCTGAGTTCAGTGTAACAACACAATATCAAGGTAGGTCTGAAAGAGTGGTTACATATAGATTTGAGATTTCAAGAGTCTTTTTTAGGAACAACCCGGTGCTGCTGCAGTATATTTGTCTGGGAACAAATAGATAAAATTATCATCAGTGATATTGATGGAACCATCACTAGAAGTGACGTCAGAGGGATGATTCTTCCACTCATAGGTAACAAAACAGTTTCTACTTGAATTAGTTATAAATATTTTTCTAAAAAAAAATTCGTCTTCAGGTGTAGCAGATTGGGCCCAAGATGAAGTTACAGGACTATATTCTAAAATCTGTGGGAACGGATACAAGATCCTTTATCTCTCTGCCCGTTCCATTAGTCAAGCCGGAGCTACACGAGACTACCTGAGAGGATTACAACAAGGATCCTTGAACCTTCCTCACGGACCCCTCTTCCTCAACCCAGAGTCTGTGTTCAGGGCCTTCAAGAAGGAGGTGATAGATCGGAAACCAGAAATATTCAAGATCAGTTGCCTTAGAAGATTGCAACGATTATTCTACAACGGGACTCCATTCTTTGCTGGATATGGAAATCGTCCCAATGATATTATTGCCTACGAGTCCGTTGGGATTCCCAAATCCAGGATTTTTATCATCAATAAGGTTGGAGAGCTCAAGGGTTCACTCAGTGAAACAATGCAAACTAGTTACAAGACCCAGAGTAAACTAGTTGATCTATACTTCCCACCTATTAACTCAGCAGGGGTGTATATTCTTCAACGTTGTTAAATGTTTCTCACTTTATGACAATATTACACATTTTACTAATACCCCCATTTCCAGTGCTTGGGATTCGGAATTTACAAGAAAGTTAGGAAAAGATCAATCAAAACATAGAAAAAAGATTTTTGCTTAAAAAAGAAAATTTGAAATGTAGACTAGTGAGAGATTAGTCTGATATCTCCAGTTTTAGCATAGAAATTGAAAAATAAAAAGGAAAAGTCAGAACATTTTTTGTAAAACAATGAACTTGATAAGTATTGATTTTTTACCAACTATTCCAATCCTGATCCTGATCAAATGAAATGGAAACCAAGCACTGATTTTTCTCCACAAGCATTTGTGCAACAGAATTAATGTTTTGTCTTTTTCAAGCCTTTTTTTCTTCTAAAAATCCTGACCATTTATCTATCATATCTTCGCACAAAACTAAAATAAAATGCTGATGAAAGATTTTAATGCTCAAGCGACTATTTTTAAATTTGATTTTTGCATGTAACTTATTATATTCTATAGTTTTCAGTAACAAGATATCAGCTGTAAGTATTATCTAACGCTCAGCATTTAATTTTGATGAATGTAAATGTGAAAATATCCAAGCTTTGATCTGATCATTTTTTTTATCAGACTTCTATGCATGACTAAAGCCTTTAAAGTAGACTTCTAGAAAATACACAAAATTCAAGGAACCGCTATGGATCTTAACTACTGGAGCTTACCAATGCCAGACCTGCATGATCTACCCGATCTAACCTAACCCAAGCCTTAACTATCAGATTCAAAATGTTTATTATATTTAATGAAACGCTGAGAAAGCTGAATGAAATAAAAAGTTTTATGTTAAAAATGTATTAGATTGTTGGCTATAAAACCCTTGTCTTAAAGGGTCTGTAAGCTCAATTTCAAGTGACCTTCTGTTTAAAGAGGCAAATCCCCGATTCACCACAGTACCCTTTAAACCTTTGACTGCTCATCGAGGACTGAGCTAACTCAGAGTAAATAGCTGTAAAATTGGAGTGTACGCTAGCGTACTGTGTAAACTCAAGGCCAATGATGTCACATTAATTCCTGGAAAATCTAGAATATTCTGTGAACAACGCGTTTTAAAAAATCAAATGTGAAAGTTTATATTCGGCCACTTCTAGAACCTTAACTATAAAACAGCTTGCAAACAATGTGTTCAACAATTACACGCATTTCTGTCTGACATACTTGATCAGTCAAAGGTTCAAAGGTTCAAAGGGTACTGTTGTGAACAGGGATTGTCACTCTTTACATGGAATGAAACTTGAAATTACTGTATCTTTAAATGCAGTTGTGAAACCTTATTATTGTTGTTCATTCAAATCTCTAATTCTGAAATTTACTTATGGTTTGTGGATTATGATCACTGATCAATGATCTATGGGATGCGATTTTTGAGTAAAGGAATCAATATGTAAGCGTGAGTCTGAGCTATCATCAACTTGCAAACAAATCTCTGTTAAAAGCTGCCATAATGAATGAAATTATTTATCATATCCTAATAATATGAAGTCATATCGTTAAATAATAAATATTGCATGTTTTTTATAAATTAAATTTTCTCTATCCGCTCATTTCTCGTGAATGTAAATGGTTGTCATAAAATCAAGTTTTTTGTCAGATTTTTTCAATTGATTATGCATTTTTTCCCCTGTGATACCAATGCTAGTTAATAACCCTAGTGTATGGTTGTGTTTAATAAATTTTATCATCTACAATGTAGATTTAGTCAAGATAGATGGGCAGAGATTGTCAAGATAGTCAGTATACAGATAATCAAGATAGTCAGCGTACAGATAATCAAGATAGTCAGTGTACAAAAAAAACAAGATAGTCAGGGTACAGATAATCAAGATAGTCAGGGTACAGATAATAAAGATTGTCAGGGTGCAGATAATCAAAATAGTCATTGTAAAGATAATCAAGATAGTCAGTGTACAGATAATCAAGATAGTCAGTGTACAGAAAATCCAGATAGTCGGTGTACAGATAATCAAGATAGTCAGCGTACAGACAATCAAGATAGTCAGGGTACAGATAATCAAGAGAGTCAGTGTACAAAAAAAACAAGATAGTCAGGGTACAGATAATCAAGATAGTCAGGGTACAGATAATAAAGATTGTTAGGGTGCAGATAATCAAAATAGTCATTGTAAAGATGATCAAGATAGTCAGTGTACAGATAATTAAGATAGTCAGTGTACAGATAATCAAGATAGTCAGTGTACAGATAATCAAGATAGTCAGTGTACAGAAAATCCAGATAGTCAGTGTACAGACAATCAAGATAGTCAGGGTACAGATAATCAAGATAGTCAGGGTACAGAAAATCAAGATAGTCAGGGTACAGATAGTCAAGATAATCAGTCTACAGAAAATCAAGTCTGTCAGGTTAAAGCAAATTAATTTAGAGTACAGAGAATCAAGATAGTCAGTGTTAAAATTATCAATAGTATAGATGATCAAGAAAGTCAGAGTTGATATAAATAAAATTGTTAATTTTAAGTGAATAGAGAAGGTCAAAGTTGCTTTATTTCATTTAAAAAAATACTATTGCCGCTTAGTTACAGGATTGAAGAGTACGATTTCCAAAAATAATTTTAAAAGTGCCTTAAGCTATTCTCTCTAGAACCCATCAAACCTTTATCTGACGAGATCTAATCACTTGATGTATAATTACACGAGTTGCTTTCTAGATAACCCGTTTCACGAAATAATCAAATTTTATCTAGAAAACAAAAAGATATTAATTTTTCATTTCCTGTGTTCAGTCTCTTAGATAAAGGTTTTAGGGTTACCACTGTGAATCGGTAACAGCACTCTAAAGGATAACTTATAATCCCTCTAACAGTCCCTTAAACAATCACCTTGGCAAATTCTCCGACGTTGATCCAAGTGAGACCAGTTTTCTCAGCGAGGAGAGAGGCAAGGCTCGACTTTCCAACCCCGGGGGTTCCACTGATTAAAATATTTGGAAGCTGACGAGACATTTTTATTAATTTATACCTGGCTAACGCGTAGCAGAAGCGACATTTATCTGAAAATAAAACAAAATTTTAAACTCTTCATCGTTTTCCCGCATTATTCTTTTTCCCGCCTTTTCCTTTCTTTCCGCCTTTACGCGCCGCCTTCTTTTCATCCTCCCGCCGTTTCTTGAGAATCTGCTCTGGGCGTTTAATCTCTGACCTCGGTCCCTTCTTGTGCTTCGGGACAACGTTCTGCGCCTTCCTCATGGCTGGATGGTTGGCCGGTAGCCTCTGCTGTTCTCTTGTCTGATCCTCGTCATCCTCCTCCCCTAGCTGGGACTTCTTACTTCGCTCCATCCATTTCTCATATCTAGACAGAAATTTTATTCTTTCAGGAGTTCATTCTTTTACGTAAACTTTTTTCTTCTTCTAATTTAAAGATTTATATTACAAAAAAATAAACCTAAGAAATGGGAAGATTACAAATTATCTAGATGATAGTTGATGAATTACTTCTGTTTTTTGAGTCCCCCCCCCCCATACACAGTACAGACCTTTAGAAGTAAACACTTTTAGAAGAGGGGCATATATTTTTATTTCCCATTACCCTCTAGAAAATAACTTTAACCACCCAGATGCTATATAAATAGAATTTTCATTATAGTTTAATCGCTGAACAAAAAGAAAAGGATTTGAAGGGAATTAAATGAGTTTTTCAGTAAAAAGCATTAAAAAATGTAAGAAAACTTGGGAAAATGCAAATCAAACAGCATTAAAACCAAAAAAAAAACTTGGCCTCATATAAAAATTTTAACCCCCCCCCCCCACTATATACCAGTTAAAATAACTAAAATAAACCTTTAAGCTGCAACAGCTGATTCTATTCTAGATGGGCTATATGAGGAAAGAGGCTATATACCCCATAACGCGATTAATCTTAATAACCTGGTTCAGCTATTGCATCCGCCTAATAAAAAAACGAGAAAAAAATTGGGGGCTGGTCTGGGGAGGGGCTGAATGGTAAAGCTCTTAGCTCAGGGCGGCAGATAAAGCCACTCTAAGTTTAAAACTTAGTTTCTAATGCTAGCTCGGCTACCCCATCCCCATTAGAGTCACAAGTTGGGGGTTAAAAATTTGTTACAATTAAAAAATTTTTGTCAAAAATTTTTTTGCGGGTGGGGAAACAGATATTATTATGGGAAAGACGACTTTAATAAGAAAAAGTTCTTTTAATTTTCCGATTAATTTCAATGGGCGAATAAAAAATTTTTTAGGCCTTTCTGTTCACTAGAACAGCCACACAAAATAAGTAATATTAACCTTTAAGTCACAACAGTTGATTCTATCCTAGATGAGTTATATGAGGAAAGAGGCTACACACCCCATAACGCGATCAATCTTAATAGCCTGGTTCAGCTATTGCATCCGCCTAATTGAAAAATGAGAGAAAAAAANGCGCAAAAATTACCTCCAAGCATTTGCTGCAAATATTCATTATGCATCAGAAATTCACAGACTGACTTGATATTATTCAGGCGGTTCTCTATATCAGATATACTGAAATAAACTAATTCACCGACTGACTTGATATTATTCAGGCGGTTCTCTAGATCAGATATACTGAAATAAACTAATTCACAGACTGACTTGATATTATTCAGGCGGTTCTCTATATCAGATATACTGAAATAAACTAATTGTTTGTACAATGCAGATATTCAATAATGAAAACTTAGAAAAATTCTTGTGAACCTCCAATTTTAAACTTACATGATCGATTCGTAACAAAACCTTTAAAACCTCTATTTGATTAAGGATGAATAAGATATCCAATTTGTTGCTAAAATATTGATAATATTCTCTTAAATGCAGAAAACATGAAGAAAATTGTCAGAATTTGACACATTTTCAGATTAAAAACGGTGCTTTATTTCTCATTGCTAATAAGATTTGAATAGGATAGGATCGGCTCGAACAGTGCATCCTGATCGACACTGCTATGGTCGGCAGCTCCCAGCTTATCATGGCTCACAACTGGCTTATCAAAATTCAAAAGTCCAAAAACTAGAGCAAACCCGTTTCCATTCTCTTTTTAACTTTCCTAAAATGATCCTCCTAGGTTTTACGATGTCTCATACTTCATATGGAATATATAATCGGAGAAAAACCAAAATTTAAAATATAGAATAACAAAAAAACAAAAAGAAAAGAAAAAAACAACAATAAACAAAAATTTTGTAAAAAATAAGTTATAAATAAGCCAGTGCTTTGCCATGAAACATATGGAAAGTCAATTTTTGTCAAATTTTCGATTTATTCCAGAATCCAGATGGGTAAAAATACATCATGATCGGTTGAAACAGATCCACCTGTCCTATACAAATTGCATTAGTTTTTTTTCCAATAGTCCAAAAAATGCCTTTAATTTCTGAGGGGGGTCAACCACCTCTCCGCCTAAAAGTCGTTGTAGGGGTTTGAGATTTCAATTTTTTTAGCTCTTGATTTTAGGGGTTAAAAGTCAGCAAACCCCCCCCCTTTAAAACTTTTTAGTAAAAAAATTGAGCCTAGTTTACGTTTAATTTTTGAGGGGGGTTGACCACCTCTCTGCCTAAAAGTCGTTGTAGGGGTTTGAGATTCCAATTTTTTAGTCTTTGATTTATTAAGAAGCCTTGTTTTTGAGATCAGTAAAGTTAACTTACGAAGCTCTGCTATGCTAGGTTTAAATTTTAATTTTAGAGGTTTAAAGGGTATTATTGTGAATCAGACATTTNTCCAATCTTTTTAGCTCTCGATTTTAGAGGTTGAAAGTTACCAAAGCCCCCCCCCTTTAAAACTTTTTAGTAAAAAAATTGAGCCTAGTTTACGTTTAATTTTTTTCTTTCTTTTTTTGGGGGGAGGGGTGTTACGTTTTGAAAATCGTCAAAATTGGGACTGAGTTTTCCTACCAAAGCTAAGGTTGAGGCCTGAAGTTAGCTTAAATCGCGGCCCCCCCCCCAGTATTGCGCATAAAAAATAGTGCAAAACTCATTGCATTTCATGCGCAAAAGTTTGCAAAAAAAAATTTGCGAAAAAATAGCGCAAATTTTGTGCAAAAGATTTAGCCATTTCGTGGAAACCCTACATCTGGTTAAGATTATAGATTCACGACATAGATAGAAAGATAAGAAGATAGACAGGAAGATAGTAACACATTCTTTACCTCTCTTTCTTAGGACACTCTCCCCATAAACCCAAACTTTAAACTGTGGGAAAAAAAATATCTCAAATAGGCATATTTTTAGTCTCATTCTAGCTTGTTTTCTGAATGACCCCCTGGTGGGGATCATATCTGCTGTCTGAAATATGCTACATTAAACAAAAGGGTGCCTACGTTAGTCGCAAGGACTGTCCTAGTCTCCTTTTTAGTCGGGGATGGTCCACTCGGGTCATTCTTTTTGATCTGTTTGGTGAGAGATTGAGAATTTTGAGACTTTTAAATTTAGTAAAAAGAGGTGCAATGCAACAAGGATGAAAGTTTTAAATACTGTTAATGTCAAAGTAGTCTGAGCTGGGAATGGTGGATATCAGGATTAATGCTTAATCCTGTTTTTTTGCTAATCTCTAGACTAACATAATCTCGAGATCATTTTAATCTCCAGATTAAACATCTAATTCGACAAATTTGATTCTAGGAACGCCAGATTTGTTCGTTTTCTTGACTGGAAGGGCCTTCACTTAATTCTCACCAATTTATTTAAAAATAAATTGGTTAAAATTAGTTAAAATTTTAAACGTATTATTGCATATTTTTCTTCACCGATTAATTTACAAAATGGCCGACAGCAAATTATTTATTTGTTAGAAATTGCGAAGGTCTCTCATTAAATAGAATTTATTTTCTAGGCTTTTTTGATAAATTCAATTTACGAACTATATTTTTGAACTCTCATTGGAGAAAACAATATACGGATATCCAAAGAGAGAGAAAAAAAAAGTGGATTAAGGACTAAAATTAAAAGTTTCCACAGTGGGTATTCGGATCAAGTAATTGGGATTAAAGGTTATACATTCTAAAGTTCCCAGATCTGATCTCTTATAGTTGGTGAATAATCAGAACGGTCGTAAATGATTTAGTTCTGAAATTTCGGACAGAAAAAAAAACCTCTTTACAAATTAAATTGAATTATTGTTTTCATGCTCATATGCTTTGTGATGTCATTTAGCTCTGCTTTGCGCCCATCTTCTAGTTCAGCTTTACTTCTATTAAAACTATCATAAATTTATTTTAAAATTAGCCTTTCTTCAGAACTTCAAATATTCTTAAAATGAGTTTCATTTTGGTGACAGTTTTGTCAAGATAATTTTACCAGTGGCCGAATTTAAAGAATTTGAGCGGCGTTTTAAATTTAAGCCACGGTTTAAATATGGTGTTGGTTCCAGGGGATGTTTCAAGATTTAAGCCGGCGCTTAATTTAAACCGGGTTTTGGCAGATTTGAACCGCGGCTCAAATTCTTTAAATTCCAGCTCAGGCTTATTAAAACTGAAAGGCCTCGATTTCACTGCTCCACTTTGGATACTTTACTTTTATTTAACAACAGATGGTGCTTACAATTGTTACTCAATCTTTCAGCATTGTTGGAGACAACTTTTGTAATTCTGAGCAATCATAAACCATCCCTGGGGTTATGTAAGGTCCCACACAAAATTTGGGCCGGATTGGCTTAGCTTTTTATTTGACATCTTTTTTGGAATACAATTACATAAACTCAAGTATTTTAACAGTATTTTTAACGGTGTATTGCAATAACTTAAATGTGTTATCTGTGCACTTTAATATAAAACGAAATCTCAATAAAAAACTAACCTAAGATTTAATTCGTTTTCTCCTTCTTTTAGAAAATCATATAGAACAATTGCTGAAAACTCCATTTTGTCTAAAATTGTGATATTTGGTCAATTTTAGTTCGATCATTTCTAAAACAGAAAAAAAGTACATGCTTAACGTTTAATTAGAATTAAAATTGAATTACTGAAACATAATTATGTGCATTGGAAAATAACAATTAACTTTTTAAACTCTGTTTTTATTCTTTGTTCTTATCAATGAAATCACATGACTAATACGCTGTTAATGTGAAATTAAGAATAAGAAAATCAGCTGTTTATTGTATTATTAAGGATAGATAGATAGATAAGTGTAGCTAGATAGATAGAAACGCCTCCTGTTGCGTATACGAGGTTTCGTGAATAACAAATCAATATATATATATATATATATACTAGGCTTTTAGGGCGCTTCGCACCCACCTTCTTTTTAAATTGTGAA